GGCAAAGAAGACCGCAGACAGAGTAAAGACTAGGTGGCCAAGGACTGCAAACCTCGCTCAAGGAGAAAGATCTTGAGGTGACCATAACAGCGAGCACGTCCCCGGAAGCACACACCAACCAGATAACGGCTGCAGCATGTGGGCGCCTGGCAAACCTGAGAATAGCGTTCCGATACCTTGGTAAGGAATCGTTCAAGACACTGTACACTGTGTACGTCAGGCCCATACTGGAGTATGCAGCACCAGTTTGAAACCCACACCTGGTCAAGCACTTCATGAAAGTACAAAGGTTTGCAACAAGGCTAGTTCCGGAGCTCAGGGGAATGTCCTATGAAGAAAGGTTGAGGGAAATCGGACTGACGACACTGGAGGACAGGAGGGTCGGGAAACATGATAACATACAAAATAATGCGTGAAATGGACAAGGTGGACAGAGATAGGATGTTCCAGAGAGGGAACACAGAAACAAGGGGTCACAATTGGAAGCTGAAGACTCAGACGAGTCACAGGCATGTTAGGAAGTACTTCTTCAGTCACAGAGTCGTCAGGAAGGGGAATAGCCTAGCAAAATACGTCTTTGTAACTCACGCTAAAAGACGTTTAATATTATATAAAATAAATGGGAGCTCACAATCTTGAAACAACCTAAGCAAAAAGCGCCAGCTCGTACTAGTCTTCAGAGCCACACCACTCTAAACACGCTCGCCAGAGGGACTAACTTACGCATATGTTTATCCAGTAAACAGAAAACTCATGAGGTGGTATCTGTCAACAAGGGGAATAGCCTGTGACATAACATTCACGATGTCTTTCTAAGGGAAGGTATTCATAGATCCCCCCCCCCTTCGTATTTTAGGGGCAACGGCTTCTGAAGTCATTTCCTCTACAGAGGATGTGTTGTTGCTGGTGACGGGCATGTGATCCAAGGAATTTGATCTACCCTCACCTTCCTCGGATGGAACCTGATGCGGATAGATGTACCACGTGTTGGCAATAAAACTATTTTATTGTAAGCTCAGTGGCATAAATTACGTTCCCAGTTCTCATCAATTATTTTGCTTATCCAATGACAATCGTTCATTACAATTTACCTTGTGTTCATTATCTACTTAGCTTTAAAGGATATGAGTAAAGATTGTACTACGAGATCTTATGGGGTCGTGGGATGAGACAGTAAAGTCAAAGTTGGTGCTTCTGATGTCGTGGGATGAGACAGTAACGTCAAAGTTGGTGCTTCTGGTGTCGTGGGATGAGACAGTAACGTCAAAGTTGGTGCTTCTGGTGTCGTGGGATGAGACAGTAAGGTCAAAGTTGGTGCTTCTGGTGTCGTGGGATGAGACAGTAAGGTCAAAGTTGGTGCTTCTGGTGTCGTGGGATGAGACAGTAAATTGGTGCTTCTGGTGTTATGGAATGAGACAGTAAGGTCAAAGTTGGTGCCGCTAATGCAACCATGCTACAATTGTGAAGGTTGTAAAAGTGTCCTCTTGTAAGCTCTGTGGTTGAGTGGTTACAGTGATAGGTACTTCCAGTCCTTGTCCATTCTTTTGTTTATTCTTTAGGGCATAATGTTTTGAGAAATTTTCAGTGAATAATTTTATCATGTCTTTAAGTATTATTGATTACCAGAGAAAATTAAGTAATGATCAAGAGTCGCACACGTGCCCAAGTTTTCCTTTATAAATTTTTAATCCTCCACAGCAAACATTGACCCTTAAAAACCAAACAAGCCACAAACAGACCTTGTCTAACCAACAACATCCTCAGAACCATTGGCAAGAAGCATACCTCTGAAAAACAATTCAGAATGGGTTTAATTCACAAAGAACCAGTGAAAACAAATACTTTAAACACATGCACGTAAAGAAATAAAAAAAACAGGTTCCATTTAATAAACGATGATATCAAAAAGACCTGGAAAACACTAACTCTGAGCTCACGACAAATTGCAAAGGCCGAAGAAACTGTACTAGCTAGTCCTAATGAACCCTTCATTCATATTGGTGATACTGTAAATAAACTTCTCGACTATATGACTGACCTTGCCAGCAAAATTCCAAACTCTGTTGTTTAGGTTAGTGATTACCCCAGTCAATGGCAGTAATCGAGGCTTCCTTTGCCTGTCACCAACAAAATCCTACGGATTTAACTTCAATAATAAATGCACTTAAAATAGGTAATGCGAGAATACCATCATTCATATACAAGAATGTTGCCCATGTATTATCACCTATCATTGCAGTTCACAGAGGTGGAGACCCATTTGAACCAAGCAACTATAGATCTATGTCTAACTTGCCGCTATTGTCTTAAATTTATGAAAAAATAATATATAAACGTCTATACGCATTTATTACTAAACAAAGTATTCAGGTTTGGATTCAAATCAGAAAAAAGTATTAATGATGCTATCATAAGATGCTAGATTGTCTATGCAGCTCTAGAAACTGTTGCATATCTAGTGAGCTTATTTTGACACTATACACCACAGAATCTTATTGATAAAACTTGATCATTATGGAATCATAGGGCATGCTATCACATAGCCCTACCTCACCGACAGATGTCAGCAGATACTAATGGCACTACCTCATTACCTCAAACTATCAATATAGTGGTGCCTCTGGGTAGCGTCTATGGCCACTGTTACTCTTCATCTACATAAAGACCTACCAAATGGCTCCCAGGAACTTAAATCAATTCTGTTTGCAGATGACACATTAGTCATATCAAATCCAGATCATCTCATCTTCAACAACACTGTCAGTTGTACCAGCTCGAAAAAAATTCTACCTGGAGGGCACCAAACAAATTTACTTTCAATATTGATAAGATCTTCATGTTGTTCGAGAACAAATCTAAAAATACTCATTTCAACTTAAAAATAAATAATTTATACTCCAAAAAAAAGACAAAAAGAGGGAAAATTCTTAAGGATAAAACTTGACTCATCCTGAAATTCTACACTCAACTCCAAAATGTATCTAAGAAAAATTCCAAAACTGTGGGAATTCTATCAAAAATGCGCTATTTCACAAACAGAATTACTCTGTATTACTGTCTATTCTATCTTTATCTTATTTTTGGTATCTGTACTGGGATCCACAGCAGTTAATCAGCAGTTAGAATAATCAACCAATGAGGGTCTTCACAACACATACACTTACTATTTGAAGTCTAAATTTACTGAACATACAATACCTCCACACTTATTACTGCGAATTTTATATATACAGGACACGAGCTTTAACCCAGTGTTTCACCTCTTCCTGGAGACCTGCAGCTGAACACAGACAAAATACAAGACGCATATTTTTGATATACCACATCTTCAAGTTGATCTGTATAGGAACTCTATACTTATAAAGAGCCCTAATATCTGGAACTCCTTTCCAGAAGATGCAGAAAGTTCCTTATTATCACCTGCTTCAAAAATATAATTAAAGAGTACTTCTTAAATCTGTCCTAAACCTCCTTTGGTTTATTATGTTAAAGCTAGTTTTATCGATTACATTCTTGTTGCTCCATATATTAGCATTCATACTGTCGCTCTCTATATATCACCAATCACAATTACAAATATTACGCCAAATTATTATGTATACGACAACAAACTAAATTGTTGTCGTATACATAATACCAAAGAAGGTAAACCATAGAATTCTAGTAAACTTAACTGAATAACTTTTCTGTAGTGTAAACTCTGCCTGACCATTAATGTATTCTGTATTCTTTATTATACTTTATATTCTGTATTCTTTATTATACTTTATATTCTGTATTCTTTATTATACTTTATATTCTGTATTCTTTATTATACTTTATATTCTGTATTCTTTATTATAGTTTATATTCTGTATTCTTTATTATACTTTATATTCTGTATTCTTTATTATACTTTATATTCTGTATTCTTTATTATACTTTATATTCTGTATTCTTTATTATACTTTATATTCTGTATTCTTTATTATACTTTATATTCTGTATTCTTTATTATACTTTATATTCTGTATTCTTTATTATACTTTAGATTCTGTATTCTTTATTATACTTTATATTCTGTATTCTTTATTATACTTTATAGAAAAAAGTTACATTTGTCTTTGTCTTGTCATTACTTTTTTCACCTTCGTTTCCAATTCTGTTCCATGAACACTTCTTGTTTTCCTCCGCTCTGTACAGTAACTCAGTTTTCCATCTCTCATCCCTTCCTTCCAGCCTTAAACACCCAGTAGTAAACATTTTAGTAATTATGTCCTTCGCCTTCTCTCTTCCTTCACACAAATTTATGGTATATTGTGAAAATAAACTAACACATTTTTGTATGCTTGACAATCCTGCTCTCTGAATACTCTGGTTTTATGAATATTTTCTTCATTTAAGAACCATTAATAAATTATTATAGCAAAAGCAGACCGATGTCACTCTTTAATCAAAGATTTTTCCGCTACAGTAGCTGCTAGTGGCTCTTATTAGTATTTCTGTATATCAGATAAGTAAATTCAGCCTCATTACATTACAATAATGTAATGTATATCTTTATGCTGCCAATCTTTTGTTTACATTATAACAGCACACTATTATGATTTCACAAGCAAACTGAGTGAACAGGAAATTCGATGATGGAGAGAGAGAGAGAGAGAATGAACAAAATTTAATTATAAGAACCTCATATTTTCATCCTACTAACCATGTTTTTCTTTCATTATATATTTTTATTCAGAGGGAATAATCAGTAACAACAAAATTTCCCTTGCATTAAATTTATGTCAGGTCCTAACTAAAACAACGGGACTAACATTTCATAAAGAAATAGACGAGTGATCTATCTACTAGTCATCACCTCTGTTACAGCATTAATAATTTGAGCTCAGGTATTAATTTATGACCAGTATCTATTTACTACTTAGAGTCTCCATCAGCTGGAATATGTCTCATCTTCCGTGTTGCTGACTGAATGTTTTAACCTGTAGTAATCACCGTTACTTTTCCTTCAGCAGCCTGTGGGAGACGACGGCAGGACAGAAAGGGACAAACAATGTCTCAAGGACATACCTGAGGAAGAAGAGGAGGAAGGAGAAGGAAGAAGAGGGGAAATAAGAAGAAAGTGTGTCAGTGCTATCTGGGGTGTTGGGTGCCGCAGTGAAGCTGACCTGCCCGCCTCCGTCGCCACCTGCTTCGAAGATACCTCTTTCCTGGCCAAGCTCCAGAACCGCCTCCTCTCCTTAGTGGGCCGCGCCAGCAGGTGGGTAATTCAGTTAAAAGAAAAACATACTTTCATATCAAGCTATTATTGTAACAATGTTTCGCTCAATGTACAGCTGTATCAGATCAATGATACATATAATGAAACGTTACAGTAAAGACTGGTTTTGTACCTGTCTTCTTTCATTACTATGAGGCAAAATGCTGCTATACCAAGCGGGAATTTCCCTGAAGTTAATCAGGCCATGTACCAGTAACAAAATATCAACATAATAACTCCAAGAGTCAGTTTTGCCCTTTGCCGTTGAAGGGCTCTTGATCCAAGGAATCGAAGCTATCGTCCCATTCATTTAATCAATCCTAATTACTTCCATTCCCCAAGTTCTTTATAACTGCTATGGGCTTAGCTTTTCTCCGTGTATATATTAATAACGATATTCGAGCACTCCAGGAAGATTTGAATAGACTGATGCAGTGGTCGGAGAAGTGGCAGATGCAGTTTAATATAGACAAATGCAAAGTTCTTAATGTTGGACAGGACAATAACCATGCCACATATAAACTAAATAATGTAGATCTTAATATTACGGATTGCGAAAAAGATTTAGAAGTTCTGGTTAGCAGTAATCTGAAACCAAGACAACATTGCATAAGTGTTCGCAATAAAGCTTATAGAATCCTTGGCTTCATATCAAGAAGCATTAATAATAGGAGTCCTCAGGTTGTTCTTCAACTCTATACATCCTTGGTTAGGCCTCATTTAGATTATGCTGCACAGTTTTGGTCACCGTATTACGGAATGGATATAAATTCTCTGGAAAATGTACAAAGGAGGATGACAAAGTTGATCCCATGTATCAGAAACCTTCCCTATGAGGATAGACTAAGGGCCCTGAAACTGCACTCTCTAGAAAGACGTAGAATTAGGGGGGATATGATTGAGGTGTATAAATGGAAGACAGGAATAAATAAAGGGGATGTAAATAGTGTGCTGAAAATATCTAGCCTAGACAGGACTCGCAGCAATGGTTTTAAGTTGGAAAAATTCAGATTCAGGAAGGATATAGGAAAGTACTGGTTTGGTAATAGAGTTGTGGATGAGTGGAACAAACTCCCAAGTACAGTTATAGAGGCCAGAACGTTGTGTAGCTTTAAAAATAGGTTGGATAAATACATGAGTGGGTGTGGGTGGGTGTGAGTTGGACCTGATTAACTTGTGCTAACAGGTCGGTTGCCGTGTTCCTCCCTTAAGTCAATGTGACCTGACCTGACTAGGTTGGGTGCATTGGCTTAAGCCGGTAGGAGACTTGGACCTGCCTCGAATGGGCCAGTAGGCCTTCTGCAGTGTTCCTTCGTTCTTATGTTCTTATGTTCTTATGGTGTTATTTATGAATATTTCAAAGATTGTTGTAAAACATTTACTTGTACTAAAGCTTATACATAGTGATAAATGATTCAATGATTGTTTTCTAAATCTTTTTCTTTCAACAATCCGGCCTTATCCCACCGAGGCACAGTGAATTAAAATAAAAAAAAAGTTTCTCCTTTTAAATTTAGTAATGTATGCAGGAGAAGGGGTTACTAGCCCCTTGCTCCCGGCATTTTAGTCGTTTCTTACGACACACATGGCTTACGGAGGAAGACCAAGAACAGTAAGAACTAAAACTAGTAAGAAAACAGAAGGAACCCCAGAGGTGTGTGTGTGTATATATAAATACTTGTACATGCATGTATAGTGTCCTAAGTGTAAGTAGAAGTAGCAAGGCGTACCTGCAACCTTGTATGTTTAGGAGACAGAAAAGACACCAGCAATCCTACCATCAAGTAAAACAATTACAGGTTTCTGTTTCAAATTCACTTGGAAGGACGGTAGTACCTCCATGGGTGGTTACTGTTTACCAACCTACTACCACAGGACGGTAGTGCCTCCTTGTCTGGTTGCTGTCTACCAACATAAGAACATAAGAAAGAAGGAACACTGCAACAGGCCTACTGATCCATGCAGAGCAGATCCATGTGCCTCATCCCGGATTAGACCAGTGACCCCCCCCCCCCGGATTAGCCCAATGACCCACCCAGTCTGGTAACACCACTCAAGGATGGAGCACTGCACCAGACCCACCAGCACAAGCTAGTCAGGTCCAACTCACACCCACCCCCACCCACTCATAAGAACATAAGAACATAAGAATGTAGGAACACTGCAGAAGGCCTACTGGCCCATACGAGGCAGGTCCTTATCAAAACGATCTCTACCTAAAGCCTCCCAAGAAATAACTCCCGTACCCCATGACACCAATCAAACCCAGCCCCTCCCACTCATGTGTTTGTCCAGTCTCTTCTTAAAGCTACCCAAGGTCCTAGCCTCTATCACCCCACTGGGAAGACTGTTCCACGCATCTACAACTCTGTTAGAAAACCAGTACTTACCTATGTCCTTTCTAAATCTAAATTTATCCAACTTAAATCCATTATTCCTGGTTCTTACCTGGTTCGACACCCTCAGTACTTTATTAATGTCTCCCTTGTTTATGCCCGTCATCCACTTATACACTTCAATGATATCTCCCCTCATTCTACGCCTCTCCAGAGAGTGGAGATTTAAGGTTTTAATCTACTTCATACGGGGGGTTTCCCTTTACACAGTAAATCATTTTAGTCATTTTCTCTGTATGTTCTCTAATAGCATGTCCTCCTGTAAAGGGGCCCAAAAACTGAGCGGGAAAAATCAAAATGGGGCCCATAGTGTGTATAGAGTTTAAAAATAATTTTGGATTTCTTTAATTTATACTTCTTGAATAAACCAAGTAATCGTTGGCCTTTTGCGCACCTGAGGCACTGCTGTCTTGGCTTTAGTTTTTGCTTACCATATCCCAAGTTTTTTTCACATTCTGATCCAATCTACTCACCTAGATTAAGCTTCGGGGTTATTTTCATTCCCAAAGGGCATACCTTAACTTATCCACTTTAAAACTTCATCGCCTTTTCTCAGACCAAGACTTTAAATTTTTTCAAATCGTCCTGGAGTTCATTCATATCCCCTCAGAGTAAATATAGGGGTATTTTTGTATCATCAGCAAATTATCATGTCACTAGTAACCCTTCATCAAGGTCATTAAAGTAAATTAGAACAAAAGGGCCCCAAAAACTGATCCTTTTTGGAACGCCCCTAGTGACAATCCCCCTTCAATTTCACTCCATTAAAGGTAACTCTCTCTTTTATTGGTAAGCCATGCCTCAATCCACTGAACCTTACCTCCATACCATAGCGCCACTTTTCTTAAGGTCCCCTTGTGAGTACTCTGTCAAGGCTTTACAAAATCCAAATAAACAATATCATATTCCTTACATGCAACTCCTCAAATGTTCTTTTTGAAAGAACTCAGTAGTTTTGTAACCCGGGAACGACCTCTCTTTGAATCCATGCGAATTCTTTATCAAGTTATGCTCTTAAAGGTGACTTCTGATAATGTCAGCTAAAATTTGGTTTCCCTAACAACTTGCCCACTATGGGATGTCGGGCTTTTTGGACGGTAATTTAAAGGGTGATTTACCCCCTGTTTGAATAAAGGAACCACATTAGCCATCTTCCACATCTCGGCAAAAACACTGGTAAGGATGGACGCATTGAATACCCCGGGAAAGGGGCGACTAAGCTCCATCTTGCTTTCCCTTTTAAAGTCCCCCTTGAAAACAACCCCATGGGGGCCCCGGGGGACTTATTTTGTTTCAGTTTGTCAAACTGTTTTTAAAAACCATGTCCCCCCGTGACAATAAAATTTGTTTAAAATTTAAAAATTTATTTAGGAACTAAAAATTGTTAATTACTGGGAAATTTATTTACTCTTCCTGTTTTTAAAAACTGACAAAAAATTTGTCATTAAAAAAAGGAAAACATTTTCCCGTTCATTTATCCGTCCCCCCGCTGTTTCCCTTCCCAGAAAAATTTTAGAGGGCCTACTTTTTTTCCCTTTACCTTCGCCTAAAACACTTGAAAAAAACCCCTTTGGGTTAGTAAATTTTTCTAACCTATTTTTAAAACCCACAACCCTTTTAGCCCCGGGAAAAACTTTACCCCGGGGGTTTTGGGTTTCCCGTTTATCCACAACTCTTTTACCAAAAACCCTGCTTTCCTATTTCCTTTTCCCGGGAAACTGAAATTTTTTTAAATTGAAACCATTGCTGCGGTCTGTCTTGGCGGAAATTTTCAGCACGCTATTTACATCCCCCTTTTTTTATTCCTTTTGCCATTTATACCCCCTCGATCATACCCCCCCCAATTCTACGCCTTTTGAGAGGGGGTGCAGATTCAGGGCCCTCCCGTCTATCCTCATAGGGAAGATTTTGATACATGGGACATCTTTTTTCTTTCCCCTTTGTACGTTTTCCAGAGCATTTATTTCCCCTTCTGTAATCGGTGACCAAAATCAGCAGCATAGTCTAAATGAGGCCTAATCAAGAATATATAGAGTTGAAGAACAACTTGAGGACTTCTATTATTTATACTTCTAGATATGAAGCCTAGAATTCTGTTAGCTTTATTGCGAACACTAATGCACTGTTGTCTTGGTTTTAGATTACTGCTAACCAGAACTCCTAAACCCTTTTCGCAATCAGTAGTATTAAGATCTACATTATTTAGTTTGTATGTGGCGTGGTTATTTAACTGTCCAGCATTTAGAACTTTGCATTTGTTAATATTAAACTGCATCTGCCACTTCTCCGACCATTGCATCAGTCTATTCAATTCATCCTGGAGTGCTCTAGTGTCCTCATTAGAATGAATTGGACGGCCTATTTTGTTGTCATCAGCAAATTTGCTTATGTCGCTATTTATTCCCTCATCTATGTCGTTTATGTAAATTGTGAACAACAACGGGCAGAAATGACATGTATGCCAGGGATGGGGTTCACTTATCTAGGTGTGGGGTGGGAGCACTTGCAACTGCAGTGGAGGGAGCTGTTAGGTCTTTAAACTAGGAATAGTTAGTGGTATGGGTTTTGGCGGGAAAACAGTGAAGTCGCAGTGTAGTAATTTTA